CCTACAAAAGCGAACGGCATCTTCAACCCTCTCTCATGGCTACACCTGGAGTTGGCTCTGAATACCGGGCTGCCCCCCGTGCTTGGCTTCGGTCTAGGCTACAGGAACGCCACTGTGGAACTGGGCTGGGTCGAGGCAGTTTCTCACAGGAGGTTGTGTTGCCGTATACGCAGGGAATGGAGAAAGCCCATGTTCTAAGCATGTTTGGAGCCTGGCGGCGACCCAGGCTGGAGCCTGGTGCTGACATGGGTTTTTCTGTGCACACAGACAGGATTGAGCGTGGCTAGACCACGCCTTGCCCGCAGCACTGGATACACCATGGGTACATTTGTCCCATGGTACGGACAGGGCTTTCACTGACTCCAGCATGTGCAGAACTCCCATCAGGGCTGTTGGGCCTAGCAGCTGGTGGTGGACATCATGCTCTCCGCAGCCGTCCCTTCCACAAATAAACCATCCAGCACCGATGGAGACCCTGGTGGACCAACATATAAGGGGCTTCCTAAATCCTGGCCCCGACCTTGCAGACCGTGCAGCGGAAGAGGGCTGATTCTTGGCCTCTGCTGGTCCAAGCCAAGCCACAGCCATGTCCGTTAGCCTGGCGCCCACGGGCCTACGGCTGCCTATCGCACCAGCCCCGTGGGTGCTCAGGCACCTGCTGAACTGGGCCTTATACAGCCGTCATCAGCAAACAAGCAGAGAAAGCAGCCAGACTGCAACAGCTGCTCTGTGACGTTTCTGTAGGGAGGGGGCGAGCTCTGGGGGCTAAGAGCAGGGAGCCAGCTCGGCCCTGACTCCCTGCGTGACCCACGACAGAACATTTCAGCCCAATAGTTGGAGCTTAGAAAGCAAGAGGACCCTGCAAACCTGCCTCCTGCACCCCTTATGCTTAAACTGCCTAGAGGAAGAGTCCAGCCAGCCAGCCTCCTGCTCACGCCCAGTCCCCACCCCAACTATCAACCAGCCCCCAGAGCACCCCCTTTCCCTTACAGCACACAATGCCCTGGGGTGATCTCCCCCGCTCCCCCTCCCGTGAGACCAACTCCCCATATACAGACCCCCTGCACCTCGCCCCCGCCCGCAGGCCCCCTCCCCCAGCACCTTGGTCTCCTCCAGCTGCATGATGGTGGCCTGGCAGTCGGCGATACTGTCGTTGATGTAGTCCATGTTGGCTGTCAGCACCTCGATCTCCTCGTTCAGCTCCTGCAGGCCCTTCTGCTCCTCCGGGCTCTCCGCCTGCAGCTTTCCCCTCTTCCCCTGCAGAGCCTCCTGCAGCAGCGCCAGCTCCTCGCGTTTCTGGGGGGCGGGTGGGAAGGAAATGCCTCAGCCGGCGCTGTCCAGGGGCCAGCAGCCTCCCAGCACTCCTGGCCCTCGGTCATGCTCAGACCACCCAATCCCCACCAGGGCACTGCCCCCCACACCTCACCTTGCTCAGCCGCTCCATGTCCGCCTCCAGGTTGACGATGGTCATCTTCTGCATGACAACGTCAAAGATGCGCCGCTCCAGCGACTGCCACTTGAGCCGGGCCGCCTTGCTGAAGGTCTGGCTCATCCCCTTCTTTGGGAACTTCTTCCTGCAGTGGGATGGGACATGGTCAGGGGGCTTCCACCAGGCGGGCGCTCGGCCATCATGCCCACTAGTGCTCAGGACAGAGGGGCATTTACACATCAGGGGTCTGCCTCCAGCCAATGTGGGGAGTCTCACGTGTCAAACCACATGGCAGAGTCGCCCACGATGATAGAGCGATCGTTTCCAGTGTTCCCACAGAACTCCGCTCCCATCTAACACCCAGGAGCCCGGGGCCTGAGGGCCAAGCAGGGAACGAGGCCGCGGGGGACACGGATTTGGAAGCACTGGTCTGACCCGGAGGGCGAAGGGTCTCTCAGGAAGTGGTCGATTTTCTGGTTCCACTGGCGCACGATGCTGGAGACCGAGTGAGAGCCGGACTCCGGTTCCGAGGAGGTGGTGCTGGCGGACACCGCCGCACCCGAGTCCAGCATGGCTGGCTTCTGACTCAGCCTCCCAGAGACCCGGTCCGACATGGGCTTGGCCAGGCGGCGCAGAGCAGAGACCTGGGTGAGAGCAGTGCCTGAGGGCTGGGCCTCCTGGGAACACCCACGGGGGCATCGCCCCCCAGCCACCCCAGTGGCAGAGCGACTCCAACGCTTCTCAAGTGGCAAAGTGAGCCTGGGAGCAGCTGAGCACCTTTCAAGAGAGCTGAGCCTATCTGGGATGGGTGAAGGTCCGGTACCCTTGGATAACAGTTTCCCAGAATGCATCAGAAGGGACTGGGATCGAAGCACCGCACCGTCCCGCGAGCTGTACGGGTGCTGGGGCAGGAGGCAGCCTGGACGAGTCACCTGACCAAGTCAGCTGCCAGGACCCAGCTCCAGGAAGGAGGGAGGGATGATACCAAGTCAAATGTTGTACAGAAATCTAAGTATATTACTTCAATACTATTACTTTTATCAGCCAAACTTGTAATATCAAAAAAGATATCAAGTTAGTTTGCAAGATCTATTTTGCATAGACCCATGTTGATTGACATTAATTATATTGACCTCCTTTAATTCTTTATTAATCGAGTCCTATATCGGCTGCACCCTTCTCTTGCCCAGGCCTATAAGTACCCACATGGTCCTGTTTACTCTTTTTAGACATTTACACAGTTTAATAATCACATAACACCCATGACAAACTAACAGTAGTAAAAATTGATTAAAACAGTTTAAACCATGGCAGAATTACAGACCTTCATTATAGCCACACATCTCCTCATCCACATCACCCTGCATTGCAAAGACGTCAGCACACTAGACATCCCTTATTCCCCTTGTCCCAGTGATGACAGGGGCACTTCCTTGTGTCCTGAACTGGGATTCCAAATCTGCAGTGTATTGAGACAGCTGCATGCAAAAACATTCGCCTTTAGCCTCACAGACGCTGTGCAGGCCACATCAGGACACAATCATACGGATGGTATTTGCCACACTGGCATGCAAACAGTTCTGTAGGCAGCACCAACTTGCCTTGAGCCTGGCAAATGCGCACACCACCACCATCCTGTGACTGCTAAGCATGTAATTGAACCTGCTTTTGCCAGGCCTTCTGAGGCAGCATATGGTTTTGTGAGCCATGGAAGGATGGATAGATGGGGTCACCTAAAATAGTAGCAGGCATCACTGTATTAATTCAGGTAGAGTATAGGAGCCCAAAGGGTCAATGGTGCAAATATAACCTAGTCACTGTCCAGTATTAGACAGTTTGAAACAAGGCTTAGAGTTTGGTATGCAAAGACCTCAGCCTGCTTGGGACCAGACAAACACACGATTAAAAATCATTTAAACCTTTTATTAAAGACCCAGAAAAAGAAGGAAAAACTATTCAAGCATTTGAAATGTAAAGTATTAAGTAAGGCTTTTCATTCTCATGTCCCTTATTCCCTTTCTCATTAGCTAGAGAGTTTTAAGAAGGAAAAAAATCCTTCTTTGAGTCTTTTAAATGGTATCAGGGATGGTAATAACTCCTTTTCGGGGAAAGAGAAGATAGTTGAAATAGGCTGCGGGGTATTGTTAATGTCCAATCCCATTTCCTAAGAAGACAAAACAAAACACACACAAAAGGGAAGAGACAAGAACAGCAAAGATAGAAAATGCAGCTTCTCTCTCTGATGCTGATCATCACTTGCAACCTCACTGCTGGAAAAACACAGCCACTCTGAGACCTGACAATGTAGGATAGCAGCACTGTGCTGTTTAGAGCATTGCTTTTAGCTGCATCTTCCTGGTCACATGCTCACAAAAGTTGCAGTCTTGCCAGCTAAGCCAGACTCTTATTATATAGAAGGAAAAAATGGAGGAGAAAGAGGAAAGAAAAGAAATCAGATAGGAAAGAAAAAGGAGACATGGTGGGGAGGGGACAGACAAAGTTTCACATCCCAGGCTGTGTTCGGGATTTAGCCAGAGCCAGTGGAGGTGATGATGTCATCTGGCTCCCTGTCTCTGGTGAGGACATCTCTCAGGATTTTGATGAAGAAGGTTCAGGGTCCCAGGAGATAGTCGTGGCAGCAGCCATGGTGGTGAATCTCACTTCAGTAGCCAATTTTTCTCCTTAAAGACAGAGCTTTTGAACTCCAAAGGGAGTGATGGGTGGAATAGTCCAGCCTCTCATTATTTTGTCTACCAGTTAGGCCTACTTTCCAACACATCCATTTTGGTTCATTGATTTTTCGGTTCACAGTTAGGGTAAATGTGTAGGCCCAATTATCACAACCTAATTGACACCCTTTGAGAACAGTGTCATTAGGAGGGAATAAGGTCCCTGCTTGTCTCAGCTGGTAAACACCCAGTCTCCTCAGCACCCAGGCATTATGCACCTTTCCTGGACATCCCAGTGGTGTTCGTGAACATGCCTCTGTGGTTGGCCAAAGCCTGCAGAGCGAGGGTAGAGAACCCTTTGCAGTCAACATATTCACTTGCTTCTTCTTTGTGTCCCGCTCAGCTTTCACAGCAGGGTTAAGCACAGTTACACTGATTACAGTGGTCTTTCAAATGAATCTTCAGAACTTCTGTTTCAAGGTTTTTCCATCATTGGAGAAACATTGTTCTAAGCCAGGTTTACTCTCTGGTAACTGCTATCCCCCATGGACATAACTCAGCTATTAGTCTGTCGCACCACCATATTGCTAAAGGACCTTGGCCACAGAGACAGGGACTATCTGTCTTCCACAAACAGTCTCTACATTCAGAACTATCGGATTTCTGTCGGAGATTCATTTCTGAGTCACCCTTTGTGGCTGGTGTGGGAGAACGGCTCCACCACAGACACTTGTGTTTCATTACAGGATTCATCATTAATTATTACTTGGTAAGTACTGACAGTGCCTTACAAACCACAGAGAACCAGTTCCTGCCACTGGAAGCTAACAATCTATAGTAATGAGCAGTGCTAGCCTACTAGTGACCAAATTCTTGGCCTTGTAGAAGAAATGGGTATTGAGGAGGAATTGAAATAAGTGATATTTAGAAGGTGATATCTGTCCACCAGGGCTGGCTCAAGAGCTCCCACTCTTGTCAGACAGGTCCCCAACCTCCTGTTCAATTTCTTTCAGCTAGGGTGGATGAAGGGCTGGAAGTCTCCCCATCCCATTCCCAGTGCCTTCACGCACCTCCCCATCACAGCTCCTTCCCAATCGAGGTAGAGAAATTGACCCACAGGTTTGCAAAGACATAGGGGATGTTTAGAATGGGAGAAAGAACAACCTCTGTGTGTATGTATGTCTGCCCTGCAAGAGGAGCTGTGGGGAGGCATTTTAGAATCATAGAATATCAGGGTTGGACGGGACCTCAGGAGGTCATCTAGTCCAACCCCCTGCTCAAAGCAGGACCAATCCCCAACTAAATTATCCCAGCCAGGGCATTGTCAAGCCTGACCTTAAAAACCTCTAAGGAAGGAGATTTCACCACCTCCCTAGGTAACCCATTCCAGTGCTTCACCACCCTCCTAGTGAAAAAGTTTTTCCTAATATCCAACCTAAACCTCCCTCCTGGAATTGATACCTCCTCATCTATTATTGGGAGTGGACTACATCTACCCTGATCGAATTGGCCCTGTCAACACTGGTTCTCCACTTGTGAGGTAACTCCCTTCTCTTCATGTGTCATTATATAATGCCTGCATCTGTAACTTTCACTCCATGCATCTGAAGAAGTGAGGTTTTTTACCCATGAAAGCTTATGCCCAAATAAATCTGTTCGTCTTTAAGGTGCCACCGGACTCCTTTTTGTTTCCCTTCACTGTCTCCTATCTGTTACATTCTCTCTCTCTCTCTCCCTACCTTTATTTCTCTGCACCCCCTTGTTTCCACATGCCCAGGACCTGACAGATTCCCTCCTGTTCCCAGTAGTCTCCTCCCTAGGTTGCCATTTGTCTCAGTTTTCCCAGGATTGCCCCTTTGTGGCGGTAGCTGTCCTCAGAAATCTGGCTGGGCACTCAGTACACAGAGCCAGCTGTCTGGTGTGATGGGACATCCCGGCTGTGTTGGATTTGTGTACCGTAGAGGTGGCAGCCCTACCCCTTCCTCTACCGTCTCTCTCCTCAATCTCTTTTCTCCTCACCCCCTCCCCATTCCCTACTTCCCCTCAAGTTTCATCTCCAGTTCCCTAGCCACAGAGCCAGGGTGCAACCATCTTCCCTGAAGGAGGCCTGGCTTCACTCCCTTTGAATCAATGGGTAGCAATGGCCATCTTCACTAAGGGCAACCTCATTGCCCCAGGCAAAACCTAGACCACCTAACACCTAGGGGAGCCTGTGGTTTCAGTGTCATTGAAAGTAATGGGAGAGTGTGGCCATTTTGAATTAGGGCAAAAATCCACAACCAAGCTGCAGGAGACAGTCAGAAGCTCAATCACCAAATATCATGAGATGTGAAACTCTGCCTGCTCCGGCTCCTTTGTTGGGTGTGATCTTGTTGTCTTGTTAATGGTTTATTAAGATGTGTGATGTTTCCTAATAATTAATTTGTAAGGATATGGCAGCAATCCAAGATGGAGTCTGTATTGACATCTTGTAAACTCCTTTTTATGACCCCTTTGTGCCCTGTCATCCTGGCTTAGTTATGACTGGATCAAACTGTTTTTTCCCACCACTGGGTGATCTCAAGAACATTTTGCCTCCGACCGTTTCCCGCCTTTCCCGGGACCATACCATGTTTTCCTGCCACAGACTGCATAAAAACTGTAACCACAGACAAGTGGAGCAGTCCATCCTAGTGACTGTGTGTGCGCAGTTCAGATCTTCAAGGCATCAGTGCATCATCGGAGAATACCACCCTTTCCTGAAGTGAAGAGAAGGAAGAAGTATTCCACCTTACCTGCTCCTGTTCGTGGAGACGCCAACACCAGAGGGTTCTCGGTCCATTTCTTCCATCCCCGATCGACATCGAGGGACTCCCCAGTGTTCCTCCTCCGCTGGTTCCAATTACCCAAAGAATGTAGGTCCTGGACTTCACAGCCACCACAGACACGCTGGAATATAGTGAGGTACAATCAGGGTTCTCTTAGTTGGGGTTTTATACGTTTAATTGCCAGGGTGGTTTACGTATTTGGGCCTGAGCTTTATGCCCCTTGGTAAAGCTGCTGTATTACTGGTTTGTGTTTTCTATAGTTATTGTTGTTCATGTTTACCCCTTCCCTTATTTGTCATTTATCCCTCAATACACTTACCTGCTTCTGCTCTTCTGAGTAAAAGGGGCTTGTTTTATATCCTGATGCCTACACCATTATACATACAGAGTTATCTTGGCTCCCCTTTGAGATAACACCTTCCCCCACCCAGACCACAGATCTGGTCACCCTGGAGTGGGGAGCAGAGCTGCGGCTGCTTTTCCAGGAAGGCAGAGGGAGTTGGGAGGACCTCTCCTTGGAGAGAGGGAAGGAAGCGGGGAGCAGAGGGTCCACTGTGGGCTGCCCTGGCTCTTCCTAGAAATGTGCAGCTGGCCTGGCTGGATCAGCTGTGCTTCACTGTGCTAAGAACCATGCCCGTCAGCCCCTGGCTCAGGGCCACACCCCTCTCGCTGGAGGTCCCACCAACTCCGTTCTGCCCCCAGGGGTGGCTCTCTGCTGCCAGCTCTCTGAGGGAAATCCCTGCTTCTCCAATGCCCAACTGACAATTTGGCTGCTTCCTGCCAAGCCCAGCTGCCTCCCCTGCCTCCCTGCAACTCACAGCCCAGGCCCTACCAAGGCCCCAGTGCTGCCTCCCAGCCTGGATACCATCTTCCCCTCCTGCTGCAGCCGGGGCTGCTCCCCCATGTGAAGCTGGGCCGGAGGCAGGGCAGCCAGGCAGAGTCCTCTTCCTCTAGGGCAATGCCCACAGACCCTGTCTCCCACCTCCTCCCATGCTTCCCCGACTCAGAGTGGAGCTGGGGGTGCCGAGTTGTGCTGAGAGGCATGGGGAGCCCTGCGCTGCCCTGGGAGCACCAAGGACACCAGCCTCTCCCTTCCCTGGGCACCAGGCTATGGAGATGAGCCTGCCTGGCCTGCCTGGTGCATACATGGACAGCCACCGCCCTATGCAGCCATGCAGAGTAGCCTGCAAAGAGGTACAGGACCAGCCATCAAATGTTCATCCTGAGGATCTTCTGGCTCAGGGATTTTCCACCCAGGCTATTCTGAGGGGGAATTTTCTGGTCATTGTGTGAGCGTTACAGACTAGAAGGGTTAATCTCATCACTGCCACCCACAGGAGAAGAGAAGGAATGAAGGGGCTGAGCAAGTGCCCAGAGGTGCTGAGCATTTGCCACTCCTTTGGGAGGGAAGGGAGCACTGGGTGCTCTGGAAATCAGGCCCTAAGTGACCTGGTAGCTCATTTGCAGGCAAAGGGCATGCAAGAAGCTGCTGTTTTGTGAGCAATTGGGTTATTTGGGGATTGAAAATGCTTATGGGCTGCTTGGTTTTGCCCCACCCCTGGACCCAGACCATGGTCCACATCCCCTCAGGGGGCACCACATGGACCAAGAACTTCCCCAACTTCTGGGATGGAATAGAGACAAGGGGGGGGAGGGGCTGGACAGCCCTCCTCACAACCCAGCATCTGGACCAAATGGTCCATGCACGCTGTGCTGCCAGATAATACAAGTGGTAGTAGACGGTTCAATGTCAAACCCTGATGATGATGGGGTTGTTGTAGTTGCATATAATTTTATTTTAGTTTTTCTCCTTTAAAAAAAAACCTAGGAAATTACATATTAAAAACAACATTGAATAGAACGTTTGTTAGTTTGCAAAGTCAAAAATACTCAGAAGTTAAGACATGCCAGTTTTACTGTTGCCTGCCCAACTTCTGCCTCTGTGTAGGTGTGGATTATAAAACAATCCTCAATTACATGATCACATGCTATTTTTTCACAAGACCCCAGTCTCATTCAGTGCACAGGATGGATGCATCGGGGGCAAATTTAAAAAATGCATGGACATCTCCAAATCTGGCATTTTTTTCAAGAGTTTGACTTTGCAACTTCATTAACATTGTTCTAATGTAGCTCTTTTGTATGTAGTGTAATAATTATACGGAAGCTGGTTGCCACATTTTAGTTAAGATTGCATTCAAGAATTCAGTTTCACAGGAGTTTGAAACCTTAATATTGTGTACAAATCTCAAGTGGCAAAAACCATAGCATGTAAACTTTTAATAGAACTTCCATTTTTCATTGCTCGTTTGAAAAAAATCATTGATACAAAGAAAATAATATGCATTCCAACATAACCTTTTGAACAGTTTCATTAGTGTGACTAGCTTTTTTTCAAACTTTTTGAAAAATATTTGAACCTCTAGGCTCTGCACCATGTGTCACGCCTCATAGGCCAAATCCAGCACTGTCAGTTATGCACAGGCAACATCGATCTGTGTTTCATCACTTTTGAGAAATAGTTCGCAATACAGGACCTGAGACAATCCTGCCATCGTCAGCCGTGAGGCTGTTCCATGTGTGCTGGACTCTCCAGAACTTAGGTCAGAAGTCTCAATGTGTCATGGTTTCCTGCACTTTAAGGCCAAAAGGGACCGTTCGTTATCTAGTCTGACCGTCTGTATATCCCCGGCTGTTGAATTTCAACCAAATATACCTCTAATGCCCCTACACTGAGCCCAACAACTTTAGTTAGACTGAAGTATTTCAGTCCTCAGGAGACTAAATTGTTGTGTGCCACAGGCAGAGGACAGGCGAGACAGAGGTGCCACCTATGCCCAATGCCCCTGCTATGGCAGGGAATTGATTCATTGAGATGTGCCCAGGTGATCCTAGCAGGCAAGCCACACCCATGCTGTAGTTGAAGCATTCCAATCTTACCTGGGTGTAGATTCCTTCCTGACTCAGAGCATATGGGCAAGATACACCACCCAGGTATCTAAGAGGATTCACCCCAGAGCACTGGTCCACCATGTCCTCTGTCCCATCCCCAGCTGTGGCCAATCTCTGATGCTTCAGAGAAAAGCAGGGAAAAAAACAACAACAAAATCAGAATACATCTAGCCAATTGTGTATCAGGGAAGATATTCCTTCCTGATCCCTGCAGGCAATTGGCTGAAGCATGAGGATTGATTATGGTGGTTATCTGAATGCAGAGATCTAGTATTCTAAGCATGCTGAGGGCAATAACAAAAGTTGTGAATTGAAACTGACTTAGTTATTTCAGCATAGGTTTGTGTGTAAACCAGCCCTTAGTCACCTCTCCCTTCTGCTGGATTCTGTCTGGCAATGCACCATCCAGTCAGCTGGTCTGAGTTCTTTACACTTGAGATGGAACAGAAATGTCCTGGAGGCTGATGGGTACGGATATGATTTAGTCAGGCAGGTCACAGAAGCCACAGATTCCATGACTTTCCCGGACTTCCGTGACAATGGCTTGGGCTGTCAGAGTGGGGGGGCGGAGCCAGGGCTGTGCACCCATAATTCGAGCCAGCTTTTCAAAAGCACTCAGGTCTCATGGAGGCTCCTAAAGAAGAATCAGGTTTTCAAACGTACTCAGCACCCAATGTGGTGACTAGAGCAGATTTTTTAGAAAAACATCCAATCTTCATTTTAAAATGGCCAGTGGTGGAGAATCCACAACCCTTGGTAAGTTGTTCCAAGGGTTAATTCATTGAATCATAGAATATCAGGATTGGAAGGGACCTCAGGAGGTCATCTAGTCCAACCAATCATCCCAGCCAGGGCTTTGTCAAGCCTGACCTTAAAAACCTCTAAGGAAGGAGATTCCACCACCTCCCTAGGTAACCCATTAACCAATTACCCTCACTGTTAAAAATCTGTGCCTTATGTCTTGTCTGAATTTATCTACCTTCAACTTCCAGCCCCTGAAACTTGTTACACCTTTATCTGGTAGATTAAATAGCCCTCTATTATCAAATTTTTGTTTCCCATGTAAGTTCTTACAGTCTGTGACCAAGTCACCCCTTAAACTTTTTTGTTAAAGTGAACAGATTTTTCTCCTTAAGTCTTTTGTTGTAAGGCCTGTTTTCCAATTCTTTAATCATTCTTGTGGCTCTTCTCTGAGCCATCTCGAATTTATCAACATCCTTCTCGAACTGTGGACACCAGAACTGGACACAGTATTCCAGCAGTGGTTGCACTCCCTATTCCTACTTGATATTCCCCTGTTTATACATTCAAGGATCGCATTAGCCTTTTGGCTACAGCATCGCACTGGGAGCTAGTATTGAGCTAATTATCTGCCACAGCATCTACGTTTTTTTTCAGAGGCACTGCTTCACAGACTAGAGTCCCCATCCCATAAGTATGGCCTACATTCTTTGTTCCTAGATGTATGACTTTACAGTTGGCCATATTAAAATGCATACTGTTCGCTTGCACCCAACATAACAAGTGACCCAGATCACGTTATATCAGTGACCTGTCCTCCTCCTTATTTACCACTCCCGCCATCTTTGTGTCATCTGCAAACTTTATGCATGATGAATTTCTGTTTTCTTCCAGGTCATTGATGAAAATGTTAAATAGAATAGGGCCAAGAACCAAGCCCTGTGGGACCCACTAGAAACACCGCATCTCAGTGATGATTCCCCATTTATAATCCATTTAATGTGTGCCATGGTGATTTTGTATTGTTCTGGGTTTCTTAATCAAAATGTCATGTGGTACCAAGTCAAATGCCTTACAGAACTCTATTGCATCAAGTTACCTTTATTAGCCAATCTTGTAACCTCAGCAACAAAAGATATCAACTTGACAAGATCTGTTTTCCAGAAAGCCATATTGATTGGCATTGATTCGATTACCCTCCTTCAATTCTTTATTAATCGAGTCCCATATCAGTTCCATTTTCATTTCAAACAGTCCCAAAAGTTAGTGATGTTTCCTGGGGTATCCTGGTCTGTGCCTCCCATGGTCAGCTCCCCACCTCCACCGGCCATGGGCAACACAAGCACTGCCCTGCTGTGTCTCTACGGGTTAGCGATACACAGGCCCTGCTGTGTCTCTACGGGTTAGCGATACACAGGCCCTGCTGTGTCTCTACAGGTTAGCAAAAGGCACGCTCCATCCCCAGAGCCTGCCAAGCATCTTCCTGGAGCATCCAGCTCCTGTTCAACACAGAGATTCAATTAACAGCAAGTAGAGGCATTAGAAACAAATGGTTACATACAAAATCAAACCATAACATATGATGAGAGGAAATGGGGATTGAAAGCAGCATTACTGGTTAGTCAGCCTCTAGCATTTGGCTCGAGGACAGTGCAAAATTATGCTTGCAGGGAGACAGAATGCCTAGCCATTGTGTTGACATGAACCAAGTTTGAGCAGTATCCCTGCATAGTTGCTGTCACTACAGAAAGTGACTGTCCAGAGCCTGGATTATGAGACTCTCAGCATACGCCAAGATGAGGCAAGGGAGAGGAGTTTAACCAGGCATTCCCTTGTCTAACAGATACACAGATTCTGCAGCTTTTCCCAAACTGACACTGCTCTTCAGATACTCAGAACAGTCATATCAGGATTGCCAGACAGGAAGGAAGTAGTGTCTCAGGAGTACAGAACAAAGAAAGAACTGACAGGACAACATGGCCTTCTCTATGAAGTCAATAAAGTCATAATACATAATGACATGCATGCTGAACTGCTAATCTGCTTACTCTCTGGCTATATTGATGTTGAAACATTGTGTTAGAGGATTTGGTACCTGTCTAAAGGTGTATGTAATACAGTCATAGAGCTGGTACGTAGACTTGGAATGTCTATCTCTTTAAGAGTCCAATAAATAAAACAGGTACAAATAGGCTTAGCACATAGAATCACAGAAATGCAGGGCTGGAAGGGACCCGGAGAGGTCATCTAGTCAAGTGACTCTCAACCTTTCCAGACTACTGTACCCCTTTCGGAAGTCTGCTTTCTTTGCATACCCCAAGTTTCATCCCACTTTAAAACTACTTGCTTACAAAATCAGACATAGAAATACAAAAGTGTCACAGCACACTACTACTGAAAAATGGTTGACTTTCTCATTTTTACCATATTTATAAAATAAATCAACTGTAATGTAAATATTGTACTTAAATTTCAGTTTAGAATATACAGAGCAGTATAAACAGTCATCGTCTGTATGAAATTTTAGTTTGTATTAACTTCACTAGTGCTTTTTATGTAGCCTGTTGTAAAAGTAGGCAAATACCTAGATGAGTTGATGTACCCCCTGGAAGACCTCTGCATATCCCCAGGGGTACATGTACCCATGGTTGAGAACCATTAATCTAGTCCATGCCTCCATTCTGAGGCATCCCATGTATACCTAGATCATCAGACAGATGTCTAACTTGTTCTTAAAAAATGATGGGGATTCCACAACCTCCCTTAGTACCTGTGCCAGCACTTAATTATCCTTAAAATTTTCCTAATATCTACTCTGCAGCTTTGGTAAATGTAAGCAGAGCCTGAATGAGCTCTTCCCTGACATCTAGTGGTGAGCTGTGGAAAAAGACTTAAGGAACTGATCTCGTTTGCATGGACACACCCACCCTGCCTAGGTGCTCAGCATGAGAGGATTGCTTGCCCAAATGATCACTTGTGGCTGCTGTGGAATCCCCAGTCTCCTTATTATTGGGGCAGGAGTAATGAGGGGTTGTTATCCTTGATGTGTGAACCAAGGGCAGCAGAACTGTACCTGGCATACCCCAATGGAGGGACTCACCCTCAACTAAACAGCACTCGCTAGGCAGGGGCCATGGGTTCCAAAGCCCAATAAGTTGAGAGAGGATAGAAACAAGTACATGGACCTGTGGGTGTTGTTTAAGGGTTCTAGATAGTATTTAACCTTTAAAAAGAAGAACAGGAGTACTTGTGGCGTGTGGACTACAGCCGACTTCTTTGGATGCATCCGAAGAAGTGGGCTGTAGTCCACGAAAGCTTATGCTCTAATAAATTTGTTCCTGTTCTTCTTTTTGTGGATACAGACTAACACGGCTGCTACTCTGAAACCTATTTAACCTTTGTACTCTCCCCATTATGTAAAAAAGAAAAGTTAATTTAGATTCAATTAAGAGTCTTATTGCATGCTGTAGAGCTAAAATTACTGATGTCTAAGTATTAGACCTACTTTGGGGCAGTGTCTCTATTGCAAGAGAGTGCCCAGTGTGCACCAGCACTGAGATTCCCCCCACTAACAGCTGAAATCACTGAGAGCTGTGTTAAGTGGGGGGCCTGAAGATATCTTAGGGTGAGCAGCTGGTGGAGGGGTGTGGCCAGCAGGGTGGCTGGCGAAGAGGCATGGTAAGTGGCCAGAAGGGTGGCTGGTGGAGAGGGCCAGAGCAGAACCTGGTGGAGAGGCACAGCAATTGGCTGTTGGGGAAATGCGCGAGTGCCTGAGCAGCAGAGTGTGTAAGGTACCTCCTTACTCCCCCTGCACACACACAGACACACACACACAGAGTGGGAGGTGAACTCTGCGTATTAACCGCTGAAGTCTGGGGCTGCACTGGCTAAGGAAAACAACTGCAAGTGGGATGCAAAGAAGGGATGGGCATGTTAAAGGGACTTTTGGGTTGCGGTACTTAAGAACCTGAGGGGAAAAGGTCTTAATTGGGGGTGGGTCTTTTGCTCATGGTTTATGTTTATGAACCCTAGTTGTAGTGTTTTCCCAAATTAATTCTGAGTTACTTCCCTCCTTTTATTAAAAGATTTTGCTACACTCAGACTCTGTGCTTGTGAGAGTGGAAGTATTGCCTCTTAGAGCAGGGGTTGGCAAACTTTTTGGCCTCAGGGCCATATCTGGGTATGGAAATTGTATGGCAGGCCATGAATGCTCACAAAATTAACAATTCAGAGATATTCAAATAAACTCTATTCAATAAAGATACATTTTAGTGAAAATAAACATAAAACCTTACTTACTATTATAAATATACCATCATAACAATGTATTACAATAATTAAACCAAACTTAACCCCTTTCCACGCCCTCTCTGATTAAT